TTTTTTCTCTAAAGCCAGAAGATGGCCACTGGAGCTGTGTAGAAATCCTTTTCTTTCTGCATGGCTTTCTCTTCAGCACCTAAGAGTCCAAAAGCTATTTTTTTTGTGGAAAGAAAGGCTTCTTGCCTGCCTGAGATACTAAAGAAATAATATGATCTTTGGCTACGATCTTTGAAACTTATTTGTGATTTTCATGACTTTCCGCCTTTGGGTGCTCAAACTTGAGCTGTCTTAAATGGATCTGTTCTTCAACAAGTAGACATTTCTATGTTTTCAAAAGCAGAGCCCTTTCCAGTTTCAGGCTGAGCCCCTCCAAAAGGAGGTATCTAAAGACCCTTGATGTTTTTGAAAAACTTTGCCAGCCTTGAGTTTTATCAGTATAATATGAGAAGAAAAGAGTAAAAGAGAGAGTTCCTAATACTCTGGCAAGGTTGCAATTAATTTCACGGGTGGGGAGGGAAGAGAAAGGAGGTGTAGGAAACCCCAGCAGGTGAGTCAGGGTTGCATCCACCAGCCTCCTATTTCCTGGAAGCCAGAGCTAGCAGCATTTACAGTAAAACTGATTGTTCAAAGTTGTATCATTATTCCCAGATTTCTCTAGTGCTGCTAATCTCAGTTAATTATATTGGAAATCCCTTGTATTATGACCATGTAATTCATAATGTGCCAGTAGAAGTCATGGTTCATAATAATCATATAATGAGCAAGGACTTAGACGTAATCAGATTTTAGTTACCCTGTCGTGTTTCCATAATGCTGCTATAAAACTGACATAATCACAAAAAAGCACTAGTTATTTAAACATTTTTATCAGATTGATGAACAGTATCTTTCTCTCTCTCTCTCTTTTAAACAATGTAAGATAACAAAAATTGAATTACAATTGCTGGGAACAGACTATGATAAACTGTTTGCTTTTGTGCAGAATGAAATTTAATAATGGCATCAGCCTCTCAATTTTTAGTAATGTTAAACCTGTTAAATAGTAGCACTCCGCAGCCAAAGGCTGCTTTCAAAGAGGTAGCATTAGAGCATTTTGAAAACAGTATCTCCAAGAGCATAGCTGTCTTATATACCTTGAAAGATGCCCTATATCCTCACAATTAACTCAGCTGCTAACATTTACTGTGCAGAAGAGGGCTTGATTTTTTCCATGATACATGATACAAAAAAACACTCTTGGTAGCTGTAAGGATTTCAAAGGCGAGTGTCTGCTTCTCAAATAAAATAAATCTCAAAAAAAAAAAAAAAAAAGAGAAGGACATTTTTCCACTTTACAGGAATATGGTTGGTGATTAGAAAGAGGACTAGCAAGCTGGACTCTCTGGACTCTCCCTGATGTTTTATCTCCATTCCGACCCCAATCACTTCAGCTATGCACTTGACATCCTCAAAAAGGGTCCGACGATACTTGTTTCAGTGCTGCACTGCCAAACTTAATTCAAAAGCATTTGTAAAGCATTCGAGGTTTGCAGCTGACAAGCAAATATCCTATTTCTATTTTTTTCTACAATATTGAAGGCATTTTATTTTAAAACAATAAATATTATAGCAGTGAGTGAGTAAAATTAGAAAGTGCCATCCTTTTTAGGCTTTTTTTTTCCTTACAGTCAGAAATGAGCTGTGATGGCGACAAAAACAGTTGTCAGTGGAGAAGAAAGGAGTACTTGTCTCCTCCTAAGAGGAAATAGAAAGGTTAGCTAATAGACATCCTGGTGAAAGAATAAGTAGAGATTAAAGAATTCCTTCCCGGGATTGCGGACAGAGTGATTGGGAAATCACAGAATTGTAGGGCTGGGGCTTCTCAGCAGTCTCTTAATCCAGCTCTCCTCAGAAACAAAAACCAGAATATCCCTGAAAGACACTTCTGTACTCTGTTTCTAAAAATCTCCAGTGAGACAGACTTCTCATCCACATCAGCAAGCTGATAGAAAGATTTTCCCAATCTTCCATCGTGCAAAATAGCCCATAGTGATTTTTGTATCCTTATTTGACATGAAGAGAAATTAACCACCCTATTCTCTCTGTACTTCCAACCTCTTCGCATATCTCTTTTCAGTCTTCTCTACATTAAATAAACTCAATCATCTTAGTATTTCCTCCCAGGTCATGTTTTCTAAACCTCTGTATCATTTTTGTTGCTTTTCTCTGCATCGTCCCCAATTTGTCTATTTGTTCAGAAATAGACAAACTGGAGATTATGCAGGGAAAAGAAGAAAACTTAAGCTACTGAGATTGGAACTGTGGTTGTTCTGCCCATCACCTTCTGAAGAAATAAATAAAGATTCCTCTGCATTTCACGTGGGTGAAAAGAAGCATGATATGTAACAAGCTCAAAGGTCAGGAAATTCAAAGTTATGGCTTCTGGTGCAAAATGTTTACAGACATTTTTCAGATTTGAGGAAACTAAAGCTTTAGCCTGACATTACAACATTTTGAGTTAGACACCCTGATCCAGAAAAGCGTGTGCTTAGCATTAAATTTGAATAGTATCACTGAAGTTAGTGTTACCTTACATTTTGCAAATATCATACATTTCTTGGCTCTTCTTTAAGCCAAAACGCCTTTTTTAGATCCATCTATATATTCATGTCGTATTATCATCCTTTAGATCATGTTGTTTTTCAGATATGCAAATAACAGGCAGTTCTGAAAGTCTAGCACTGAAATTATTGGATTTGAAAAAAAAGAAAAAAGGAAAATTATTAGTCAGAAAGAAAAACTGAAATGCTTGTTTAATTTAGAGACTTTTATATGTCGGACAGCATGCTGCTGATTACCACAGACATTGGGAAGGCAGTGTTATCAAGAGAAGAATTGGTGGCTTCTCACTATTTCTGCACTATTTAGCTACCATTAAATTAATCAGGAGGGACTTAGTGTTAGTCAGCTGCATTATAGTTAGCCTGGGAGAGGAAAAAATAATGCTCCCTTGGAGAACTCTCAGCATTAGAGCTGAAGAATTAAGTACTTTCTGCTGCTAGTGAGGAAAATAGCTGAAGAAATTGGGGCAACAGTCTTTGCTCTTCTACCTCCTAGCTAAATAATACAGTATATTATATATACTATACTGAGAAACACTGTAAATTTCCCTAAATTTTTGGCATCCATCTGTTGCAACGTAGGGAAATAGGACTTGAACATCTGGACTGGGATATGAAGGGAATGAGAAATCACTCTTTAGCTTAAAACCTCAGTGGAAACCATATACGTATATCTATAAAATCTCTAGCCAATTATTAACAGCTTAGCTACAAAATAACATTAAACCTTTATGAGGATCGAAAGATCTTGTCTCAAACTGATCTCCTAATATCAGAGAGCGTAAAAGACTTCAGAAACATCAGCCTGTTTAAAACCTGCACAAATTTAAATTTCAGACCCTGTTGTTCCGAAAATAATCCTCCCCTGTGATTAAAAAATAAATGAGAAAGGTTCATGACTGCTGTGCACAGAAAGAAGTCCACAGTATCTCAGCACACAGCTTTCGGTGTAGAATATCTCAGAGACATGAAATGCATCCCCCGTGTGAGGTGAAGGCCTCAAACAGCATGTGATTAATTCACCAGAGTGCTGTTGTGGTGCCTTCCACAAGCTGGAATATCTCCATTTTCCACAGATGGCTATTATGGGCACCGTTCCTATGGCAGGGAGATAAACATTAGTGCCATCTTTTTTGCGCACCTTGAGTTTTTAGATTAACCTTTCCTGTGGCTCATTGCCTTGTGATTCACTGCTTGCAGAGAAGGCTTTGTCAAGACGACGTTCCTTCTTCCAGGCAACAATATCTGCAAAAAGCAAATATTTTGAAAGGGGCTGTGGTACCAGTGGCTCATGGACGTAACTACATACCAACATAGAGTTAGGCAGCATGGTTCAACCAAGCCTTCCATTTTGTAAGATAAGCAAAAAATGGGTATTTCCTATATAAATACCTATGTGAAAAGAGGTTGATCCTTAGTCTGTCCACTGGTAGAGCACATTAGAAAAGCACAGGTGGCTTTCTTAGAGGCATTGCTGCACGGTAGGATTCGGGTATTTGGATGCGCTCCCTGTTGTGACCGTTGGATCAGTGCTGGCTGCAGCACGGCAAGGCACAGCCACATTTCTGCCCACCCTCCCTCCCCCGACGTTGTCTCTTTCTGCAGGAGGGTCTTGAGGTCCAAGAAGCCATCAATGTGTAAGAATGTGTACTCCCTTGATTTACGGAGCATGGAGACTGGAATTACTGGTCATCCACTGGAATGAAAGGGGTAGAAAATAGAACTTTATATAGTTTTCCCTATCCCCTCTCATCAAGAAAAGCTGTGCAAGGACTAGACACAGTTTAACACCACGAAAGTCCTCAAGAGAAAGCATGTGAAAGGCTAAATATTTATTTTAGCACCAACTTTCTGGAGCTAAAACATTAGACTCAGAAATTATCTATCCTTATCATCAGCACAGGTCCTCTAGAAACTGCCTGTGAGAACACCAGGTCTTGGACAGAGAACATCAAAGATGGCAGTCACTGATGCCTCAAAGAG